TCTGCTGTTTCCTCCACTTGGCCCACTCCCGAGGAGAATTCGTCTTCACCATATAAGGCCCTTTGTATTTGCAGAGTCCGACGAATTTGGGCCGGCGCTGGCTCCGTGAACAATGGCATGGCCCAAATCCCAAGCTCAGAACAATACACCAGAGTAGTCTTGTGGCTGATGCCGCAATGCTGGAATCAAGAAGGGAAGTGTAGATTGAAATGAATTTAAAAGCATGTGCAATCAGCTGAAGGGACCACGATAATAGCCAACGTCCTCCTATATGATGACCCCCTGCCAGAATTGAAAAAGCCAGGTAAGCCAAAATCGAAGAAATGTGAGCTGGATTGGAACAGCTGACTGGCATGTGCAGATACACCACCACAAAAAGGCAGTGCACCAAGGTGTACCACGTATTGAGGCCCAGACCGATTAGCTGAGGTAGACGACAGAGTGCTTGCAGGCTACCGAAGTGGGCGTCGATACCTACGGAACAATGGCCAAACCTGCCCAAACACAGTGGTACCACCATGCTGATGATATTGCAAACGCAATCACCTGACTTCCTGACAATGCCTAAAAGACTGGCGAATGCAGGCAAACCAACTGGAAAGACTCTGTGAGATGATCTGCTTGCCTGTAATAACGATATCATTCTGAGCCAGAGACAGGTGGCCTGGAGGAGCGAGTTGGGCTCAACTCGACAAGGTTCGCATGTAATGCCACAAGCATCTCTACGTCCAGCGGACATGAATGACAGCCAGGTGCGCATGGAGTTGCACTCACACAATAGTTTTGCAAAAAATCGTGCAAGAAGCTGGCAGAGTGCCCGACGGTTCACTACTCGCGCCTTGCTTGTGCGAGGCTTACACCTCCGAGCAAGAGAAACCTTCCAGCGATCCGTGCGCCACAATCTAGTCCTTGGATGATCTAGCTCCTGACACAGATGCATCTCCTGCGCATGTTGAGCCTCATCACAACACCTATTGTGTGCACAAGAGCTAGGACTAAAACTGACGATTGCACTCCCAAAGAGTCCTGAGTCCGCTTGTTGCTGAAGGCGATCTCTGTGATCTTGAATGTATATCAAGAGCAGTGTGCGCTGCAATGGCGGACTGATCTGATAGGAATATACTTGATGCATCAAGTTGTCAATAAAATCATGATGATGCCTCGCATAATCATCCGTCAATGCCGCCTGCAGTTGTTGACTGGTGATTGTAGAATCTGGTTCCTGCACCCGGAAAGTGTCATCAGATGTAAAGATGGACGGCACAGCTTCAGGCGTGTGGTACAAACCTCGATCAGAGACACAGCCAATAGACCTGGATCTGCGCATCGGTTCTGCATCCCGGCTGCTATCACTACGACAGTCCAAGCAAACATCCGTGGTAGGGCTGTATAGGGGCGAGCGTGATCGAGTCCTGGGCATACCTTGCCCAATCTGAACAGTCACAGCATATAGCAGAAGCAAAGCCATGGGACACGGCGGCATCATGTTTGTTAGCACCCCCTAGAGATGAGAAAACATGCCAGAAACAGTCGCATGAAAAAGATCCTGGCACACATGAAGTTCGCTGAGACATGAACGTAAGACATGTAGAGAAGCGAACCACCCCCGAGAAACAGGAGTTTGAGCCAGGAGCTTTGTGTCCAACATGTCACGGATGGCAAAAAATTTCAAAGTGGCTCGCGGCCGGAAATGCACTCCCAGCAGCAGCAGCAGCAACAACAACAACAAGAAGAAGAGGAGGAACAACAAGCGCGAAAACAACAACAAGGACAAAGACAACAACAACAACAACAACCAGCACCA